ATTAAATAGTTTAGAAAAAACTGAAGAGAGTTTACGAAAACACATTTTGTAAGACTATGATAGGTATGTTGTCTGGACCATAAGTTGTAGAAGAGTTTAATTTAGATATGACTTTAGCAACACAAGCTGTAATAATTTAAATGTCTAACAATATGTTAACCTGTTTAATTGGAATCGAAGGAAGAGTGTGGCCATAAAATTCAAGTATCAAATTAGAAGGAAACTTCTTTGCAAATAGTTCAGCCTTATTCTTGAGAGAGGTAATAAGATCAGTCCCTTATATGAGAGATGGAATAATAGTTAGTGACCTTGTTAGTGACGCTGTTGAAAGTTTTTGAAAAGTCTCTAGAGCCTAACTTCTTACGATATAAGAATTAGTGAACTCAGAATAATGAAGCTTAGCATCAGACAGCACTTTTTTACATAGATTACTTGCAATAATAAACAGCCATTTGTTCTCAGCAAAGTTTTTCTTTTGAAAAAGATGAAAATAGTTAGGATTAATTAGGATTAGTTATAGGGTGAGTATAAAAAAGGGGTACAAGATTAAAGATTTAAAGAGATTGTTGCATGCTCAGAAACATTTTGTTTTAAATATTATCCAAAAAATAGGTCATTGGAGACTCAAATAAATTGAAATAAAAATTTTAAAAATAATAGTTTAAAAATAAAATATCGAGAATAAAAATGTTATTAAAAGAAAACTTTACGTAATAAATAAAAAAACACAAAACATAACAAGATTCTATCACGCTAACTTAAAGTCTTTTCTATAGAAAAATATTGTATATAGAAAAAATATAAGAATTTTTTAATGACTGTTAAGTACTTTTTAAGTACTTTGATAGCTGTTGCAACACTTCTATAGCTTATTGCATCACTTAGATAGTTTGTTGCATCACTTAGTTTTATGAAATCAATTTTTGTAAATGGTAAAACATCTACTATCTTTGCTGGTGAATATTTAGTGTTGGTAGCTGTTGCTATCAAGAATATTTAAGCATGGGAGAAAAAGGAAAAACTAAACAAGGTGGGTTCAGAGACAAGACACAAATCAAGGAGTAAAGATAAAAGATTTGTCTAAATTAATTAATCTAAGTAAGAGATTTATGCAGAAAATCACAAAAAGAATCCCAGTCAGCTTTAAGGTAGTAGTTAGTAGTGCGATGAGCCCGAAAAGGGAGTAAGAGGTAAAAGGTTTAAAGAGATCATCACATGGTCAGAACTACCTAAAGAAGATAAAAGAGAAGTTTAACACAAGCTAAGATCAAAGACCAGACATAAATCAAGGGGTGAAGGTAAATGATTAGGGTTGTCAGGAAAACAAGTAACAAAGTAAAAAACTAAGTACAAGATTAAGAAATGCAGAAGTTATTGGCTCTAGTGCCAGCTGGGTTAGTAGTGTTAGAGCTAAGTTATTCAGTGGGATGGGCATTAAAGTCACAAATAATAATAATATTGGCAGAAATATTTTTACATTGTACACTGTAGGATTACCAATATGATACTCAAAAATGCCTGCAGAAAGATGAAGAACAAGACTTATTACACAGATTATTTGAAACAATTCACATTTGTCACCTTTGTCCAGTTATCTTTGGTCCATTGCTTGTATTCCTTGGCCCATTCCGATCTTTTTCTTTTCATAGCTGTTGTCCAAAGTTGCTTCTTGGTGGGCTTTCTAGCTGGCCGTCCAGGACAAAACAGTCTCCGCCTAACAGTGCTTGAACAGATACTGACACAATGATTTTCAAGATCATTCCTGAGCTGGACACTTGTTTTCTTGGGGTTCTTCTTACTTTGCTGTAGTGGAAAACGATCATCCCTGGCTGTATAAAATAATATATAAAATTTTGTTTTATAAAAATTATTGAATGACCACAAAAAAAAACACAGTAAAAATAACATAAAACCAAATAACATTGTTAAAAATTAGAATGCAATGCACTTATATTCAAAAATGTTTATCTTCAGTTTCTAAAATTATTTACAGCCTGTTCAGATTTCACTACAAATCACAAAAATATGATTAAAACAATGGTTTTTTAGAAATTTTAGCAGTTCTCCATTATTTTTAAATTATAGATAAAATTAAAAAAAAATAACTTTAAATTACAAATTAATATAAACAGATTAATAAAGTTTATACATATATTTATATAGTTTTTGGTAGGAAATAATTTTTTAAGCCACTCATCTTAAGCATTGATAAAGCCTAAAAGTATATTGTTAATTTTTAACTTTAGTCATGTCTCAATTGGCATCATTATTTTATATAGAATATAATACCAATTATATTCTATATGATAATAAATTATATTCTATATGATAGTAAAAGGGTAGTTTCATGTCAAATCAGCAGAAAAAAAACAAAAAATGTCACCCTATGTTTTGGATTTTGCTAATTTTTTTCATATGTTATAAGGTTTATAAAAATAAGAAAATCTGAAATTTGGAACCTCCAATCCCTTACAGTTCTTGAGATATTCAGGGTTCAATTTTCCTATTTATGCTGACTCAGCATTTTTTGGAAAAAACTTTTTTGTTGTTAAATAGCAATATTTTATGAACAAAATGAGGTATCATCCTGAAATTTTTAATATAGACATAAAAAATTTCAGGATTTATCTCCCACATGGTGGATACAAATTTCATTTTGAAATTTTTTTTGACCACCTTAATTACATGTAATTATGTAAGATAATAAACACATATATTTTTGGGTACTTTGACGATCTAAATTGTGATGTCACCTTGATAATTTTTTTTGAGGCATTGTTTTAACATACAATAGAGGTATCATTGTTTAAACTTATTTATGATAAAGTTAGCTGTATCTTAATTTTATGTTGTAAAAAGATATTTTTAAAGTCTTTTTGAGTGCAATAATAAATTTATACTTTATTTTTTTTGTTCCTGAAAAGGGCTCATAGTCTAAAGGGGAGGGGGCAATTAAACATTTTACCAACCCCCCCCTTTTTTTTTTTTTTTTTTTTTTTTGTTTGTTTAAAACATAAAGACAAGTGACTAGGAGAACAACATACAAATATAAAAATAATAATGCAATAGAAATTTTTCTATAAATCTTTATTATTTTTTTCAATAATTTTTTATAACTCTTTTTTTAAGTTTCTAAAATTTTTTATATGTGACCATTTGTTGTAGATGGCAGATCAATAGTACATAAATCATGATTTGATGAGACCCAATGCATATCTTCCGATGTGGGCCAAAATAAATTTGGGATGGAACCATGTGGCTACATAGATTAAATTTTATAATCTCCTTTTCTTTCATCTTTTTTGGTTATAAATCACCAAAAATTGTCATAATTGCAAGCTACATACTTCTATGAGTACCTTACAATTGGTTAATAGTTATTTCTTTATCATTGTTGTTAAATTTTTCTGGTAAGAATTTTTTAAAGCAGTAATACCAGGACATAGTAGACATCAATGTAACATGCTCTCTAGATTATCTCGATTGCAAACAAACAAAGTCTTTGTTTGTTTGCAATCTTTTTTTAAATTAATCAATATTAGTCTTTTTTGCATGTGTTGTCTGTACTGTACTGACTAAATTTTTTTTTCCACGCATCATTTCTGTGTACTAGTCACTTTGATAAAAGCTATTAGCTAGATCAATGGTTTCATGGGGAAAGCGACTTTCCTTTTTTTGATGATGGTCTATACAAAATTTTACAAATAGCTTTTCTAACTATTTGTATGATGTCACATTTTTTAGTTTGTCTTTTAATTCATTTAAAAGTGAGTTTAGATCTTCAATTTTATCGTCTTCAATTGAAGAAGTTAGTGGTGTACAAGATGGTGTCAATCTAATCATAGGATCAAACTTCATTTATTTTGTTTGTTATTGCTTGAGTTATTTGATAAAATTTTCTGTTAGTGTTTTGGCACTGGTTTTAGCTTAATAAACACACCTATAGATTTAAGACTTTTATTGAGAGCTGAACGCGTTGTTTATGTTCAGACTCAACGCTGCTATAGAATTGATCATTTGATTCTAATTTTTTATTTATGCTCTGTACCCTTTTGCAATAACCACTGCATAATTTCCACCCAGGTACAACATGAATATCTTGTGTTTTAAGAGTTATTGCTATTTTAGTTACAGTATATTTATTAATTTATAAAAGAAGTAAATTTTAAATTTATGAAAATATTTGAATTTTTTCTTAAAAAAGCATTTATTTGTCTTATTTCTTTCTTTCATATTCTAATAAGCAATATTGATTAAGATTTTGAATTATTTATTTCTTTAGTTTATTTAATTACTATTTAAACTATTATAATCATTAAAACTCATTTAAAAAGTTACGTTTTTTTTTCAATTTCCATGTTTTTTGAATAGATTACAGCATTTCTGATTATTTTTTTTAAATGCAACTTCAAAGTGGTCTCTATAATAATAGCAAACTTTTGTAAACAATTTTTCACAATCAAATAAACCAGCTCTCCATAATAACTTGTTTTTTTCATCACTTGAAAATGTTGATAGGTCTAAAAGACCTTGTCTTCTTGTTAAACCTTGTGACAGTCAACATTACATTCTAATCCAATAGAATGCTTTTCCATATTTTCCAACTTTTAATTTTATTCAAAAAAACTAGTTTTGAAATATTTTACAAAATGAATACTTTTGAAAAATACCATTAACATTATTTAGTTTATGGTAAATTATTTATACATTTTATTATAATATCCATATAATTGGATGCGCCATATTATATGATTTTCTCTTATACATGATTAAAAGTCAATTAATTTTTATTTTATTTACAGATCATATAGTAATCATTTCTAATTAGTTAGGTAAATATTTGAAATCAGGAAACTAATATTTTGAAATTAGAAGCAACAATATAATAATGAAGAAATAAAATTTTTTATTTATAAAAGAAAAAAAAATGTCCTTTATAAAGATAGCCTTTTTAAAAAAATGTCTTTTATAAATACATTTGGATTATAGCCTTGCAAAGTTTCTATACTTAAAAAAATGTTGGTCTTTTACAAAAAAATTAACTTCAATAAATAAAAATAATATTTCTAGTTATTGCTCTATAAGGCCTCCAAAAAGCTTAAAAGAAAATTTTTTAACAAAACAAAATTTTGAATTTTGGAAAAATATTTAATTTGGAAAATATAATTTATTATTATTTAGGGAGGAGGGGGGGGGGAAATGCTGAGTCAGCATAAATAAGAAAATTGAGTTCTGAATATCTCGAGAACTATAAGGGGTTGGAGGTTCCAAATTTCAGATTTCCTTAATTTTCATAAACCCTACTACATAAAAAAATTAGCAAAATCTAAAACATGAGATGGCATGAGCCTGCTGATTTGACATAGAATTACCCAAAAGTTATTTAATTATAAACCACCTCTCTTCCCCTATATAGTAGTTGATATATGATGTAATATAATTGGTGAGTGTTAGTGTATATATATATATATATATATATATATATATATATATATATATATATATATATATATATATATATATATATATATATATATATATATGTATATGTATATATATGTATGTATAAATACACACACATACATACATACATTTACTGAGGTAACTTTTAAAGTTTAATTGATGTTTTTCCAGTAGAGCTAAGCTAGTTAGTATATATGTATATATATTTTTTTAGGTTTTGACCTCATACATGTTTAACAGTGAGAATAATTTTGAGTTGAATTGTGCTGCATCAAGACTACTGTTAAATCTTTTGCCAGGTTTAAACGAAGCAGACATGGTTCAAGATGTTGTAAGTTTTGGTAAAATATTTAGCTAATAATGGTTTTTAAGGTTGTTCTTTAAAGTGAGATAAACCAGATAAATGTTACACAGATGAAGATTCTAAAATTTGAAATTAAAGTTTAAAAAAAAATTACTATAGCCAATACTTTTATAAATTTATAGAAGTTTATTTGAATTTGAATAAAATACTTAACAAATTTGTCATAGAGTCAATCCTCAAACTTAGGCAATTAGGTCAGCATTCAGCAATGCCGACCTAACTGCCGATCTAAAAGTGTTTGAGGTCGGCAAAAAATTGCCGACCTTGTTACTATGTTTTATGGTCATCCCTTTGTTTTAAATTTTTTTGCCAACTTCAAACAGTTTGAGGTCTGCAAAAAATATAGTTTCTAAATCCGAGGGTTGATATATATATATATATATATATATATATATATATATATATATATATATATATATATATATATATATATGTATATATATGTATATATATATATATATATATATATGTATATATATATATATGTGTGTGTGTGTGTGTGTGTGTGTGAGCATTGATTTAGCAAGAGCGCTTGGTTGGTGAATGATGGTACTTCAGAAAAAAACTGGATCACAAATTGATGACATAAACAAAAAAAACATAATTAGAGTTATAAAAATGATTGGTTTTAAAATAGAGATCCAAACAAACCTACCCACAGTCAACTTCTTAGATATATTCTTTAACTTAGGAAAAAACTCCTACCAACCTTTCAAAAAACCAAATGAATATCTACGTTACATTCACACTGATTCCAACCATCCTCTGCAAATAATAAAGCAAATCCCTATTTCTATCAATCAGACTATCAGAAAATTCCTCAAATGAAAAAAGACTAAAAAAATACCCACCCTGCAATTGCATAAGTAAAGAAAATTGCCTTATAATAGGAAAATGTAGAGCCTCTAATTTTATTTATACATGTATAGTAACCCCCCCCCCCCCTCTTAACACTCCAGAAAAAGTATATATTGGCCTAGCAGAAGGTGAATGGAAGAAAAGATCGGCTAACCACTAACACTTAGGGATCGCAATCCCGAATTGCGTGATCCCGCAATCCCATGGGATCACGCAATCCACATTATTTTAGCGCATGCGAGATCCCGCAAAAACTACTGCGGGATTTGCGGGATCCACAGGATTTGCTGAGTTTTGAAATTATTGCTTTTAAATAAAAAAAAGCAATTCTATAAACAAAGACGAAAAAGATATCAAATTAAAGTATTTAATGTATTTGCATAACAAATTCATTTAAAAGTTTACTAGTCATTAAATGCACAATAAAATGTATACTGAGAAACTCGTTCAAATTTTTTTTTGTTTTGTTAATGATAAGTCATAAAATAGTCATTAAGTGCACAATGAAATGTATACTGAGAAACTCATTCAAATTTTTTTTGTTTTGTTAATGACTATGTTGAAATTTTTACTAATGAGTATATTGAAATTTTTGTTGATGAGTATGTTGAAAACGTTAAATTGAAAACGTGATTAATAAAAAGCGTACTACTTTTTAAAAAGACTTCAAAAGTTATTTACATCAAGATTTTAAAACAAAAGTACCTACTAAGCATGTCGCAAATTAAAACTATATGGAATTATTTTTAAAAAAGTAATAAAGGAGAAAATGCGAAGTGCATGTTATGTTCGGCTATTTTAAAAATTAGTCAAAGATCAACAAAAGGGTTATTAATCCATTTAAAAACTAAACATGGAACTGATTTAAAATTAAACGTTTTACAACAAGACAGAGCTTCAACTTCAAAACAGCATGAATAAGTTGAACTAGAGTCTAAAATATGCATCGACTGCGAAGACAAAGAGGTAATTCTATCAAAAAAGGTCAAAACAATAGACACATATTTCGTAAAAGAGCTTTCTATGGAAAAAATGGTATCGCGCATGGTTGCTAAAGATGGCTTTACATTTGATAGTTTTTGCACATCTTCAGATTTGCGGTATTTGTTTTGAAAGAGTGGTTTCCGGCTCCCTAGTTCACCTAATACTATAAGATCAATGGTAGTAAAATTCTCAGATTCTGTAAAAGCCGATATAATGCAAAAATTTATATCACTAAAAAAGCAAAATCAAAAGTTTTCAATAACCTTTGACAAATGGACATCACAAAATAGTCAGAGATACCTTAACTTAAATGTACATATGGAGGCAAAACACTTTAATCTTGGATTGATTCGAATCCATGGATCGTGTAATGCAGAATATTGCGTCAAGTTAGTTGCAGGAAGTCTAAATAGCTTCAATATTGACCTCCAAAAAGACATTATCGTCATGACCACTGATGGAGCAAGTGTGATGGTGAAAGTCGGTAAAATGATGTCTTGCTTTCATCAACTATGTTATGCTCATGGAATACAACTTGCAGTTATTGATATCTTATACAAGAAAAACAACAGAGAAGTCGAAGAATCGTTTACTACAAATGAAAATTGTGAAGAAGAAAATGAACATGAGAACACTGATGGTGATGAAGTTATAAATAAAGAATATGGTTTGACAATAATTTTGGACCGACCATCTGCTGAATTGGTTAGTAATTACAAAGGTCTCATGAAAAAAGTGAGAAAGGTTGTGAAAATATTTAAAAACTCTCCTGTCAAAAATGATACATATTTACAGAAGTATATCCTACATGAACACGGCAAAAAGCTTAAGTTGATTCTTGATCGTAAAACTAGGTGGAACAGTATGTTCGATATGTTAGAAAGATTTCATAGACTAAAAGTGTGTATTGAAAAAGCCTTAATTGATGTTGGGTCAGAAATTCCTTTGACCCAAGAAGAATGGTCCCAAATTAATGACTTAATTATTTATCTGGCACCACTAAAACTTGGTCTCGAACTATTATGCAGGAGAGAATCAAACCTTGTCACTGTGGAAACAACTTTTAAATTTATGTTAGATAAATTACAAAAGCAATCATCACTTTTGAGCATTGGTTTAGCCGCGGCACTTCGTGAGAGGTTTACACAACGTCGTAATAAGAATTTAAATGGACTACTGGTTTACTTACAAAATCCTAAAAAATATGAACAAGAAATTAAAAAAAATGAAAATACTTTTTCAATGCCAAAGAGAACCGTTATGTGTCAAAAAATTAAAAAAATATTGACAAGAGTTTATACAATTGATAGAAATAAAGACGAAGAAAATAAACTCGAAAAAAAAGAAGCTGTAGATTATATTAACAATTCCTAAATACTTACTCCTACAATTCTATCGCTGAAAAAAGAATTGGAAAATCATATACAGAAAGACAAGAAAAGCTGGATAGAAAATGTAAAGGAGATACCAAATTTAGATTCTTTAGACTTTGATAAATTATTGAAGCAGGAAATGTCTGCCTATAAAAATAACGGAGTAAGAGGCAAGTTTCTAGATATAGCTTATAATTACTTGATGACCATATCACCAACAAACGTAGAGGCTGAGCGAGCTTTTTCAGCTGCTGGCTTGCAGTCCTTTGAGGAGTAGATTATGTGATGATACTTTAAGTAGGGTCTGTTTGTTAAGAGCGCATTTCTTACAATGATACTTTCTCATACTTATTTTTAAAAATAAGTAAAGCTAAAAGAGGCTCTACGTAAAGCTAAAAGACGTTTTACGTATTTTTATCTTATCCTTTTGTTCATTAAATTAAGAATTATATTGATTTACAAATGAATTGTGTTTTTGGCTTCATTTACCTCACCTTATCAATTTAATAAGTTGAGTATATTTATTTATTTCTGAAATAATTGAAAGAAAAATGCAATTATTATTTTGCCTTTTATAACGTGCATAAGAAATCTACCAATCCCGCGCGGGATCTGCACATAAATTAAAAAATCCGCGCCGATCCCGCGGGATTGAAAAGTTTGCAGGATTGCAATCCCTACTAACACTCAATCGCAAACAAAAAAATGAAAAATTCAACCATTCTTTCAAAGTGTATATATCAGTATGTATATCAGTATATATACTTTGTATATATATATATATATATATATATATATATATATATATATATACTTTGTATATATATATTTTGTATATACATATACTTTGTATATGTATATATATACAAAGTATATATATATATATATATATATATATATATACTTTGTATATATATATATATATATATACTTTGTATATATATATATATATATATATATACTGCTATATATATATATATATATATATATATATATATATATATATATATATATATATATATATATATATATATATATATATATATATATATATATATATATATATATATATGAATACATCACTTATTTTTATTAAGTGATGTATTCAATATATATATATATATTGAATACATCACTTATTTTTTTAATTTCGAAATTGGCGCAATTCTTGTAAAAATTAAGTCATTTTTGCAAATATTGCTATGGATTAACTTTACAACTATTTGTAAAAGAAGCACTTTAGGTACTTCTTTTAGAAACAGTATTTTTACACAATAAGTTTTAATAGAAACAAAATAAAAGTTAAACAAGAATACTTATGATTTTAAGGCAATAATACATAAAATTAAATTTAAAATAATTATTATCATTATCATCTATCATTATAGTTCTATCATTATCGTCATTATAATCATTATCATTATCGTCTTTGCTCTTCAAAAAAAATTATTTTGGCTATTTACTGAGGCAACTGAAGTTTTATTGTCTATGTTACAAAGTAACCATGTAACCTTTAGGAATGCATGATTTATTGGTTTGCGGCTGTTTTATTAGCTGGTTTTAAATGGCTTTTATTAGATTGTATGGTTTTGTTCCCCATCAATCTTTATACGCAATTGTATTTTGTTATTAACTTATTACAAACTCATGTTCTTTGTTGTGGTTTAATGTTTTTCATTTCATTGAAGCTTCTTTCTGTGTCAGGTGAACTATGGCACAGTGAAAAATCAGTGGTTAAAAATAGATTATTAAATTTATCTGGTTTGATATTTATTGATATTTCTTCCCAAGACAGTGATGGAAATGATTTTGAACTAGCCATTGTCCGCGTTTTCATTATTTTTGTTTAGAATATCTATTCTGATTAGATATTTCAATCATCTACTTAAATTCAAATTGTTGGTATAACATTTCTTTGTCAATAAGAAATTAAATGCTTACATGTTTCTTTTTATTGTTTCAGTCATGAAGAAGATGCTATATGCCTTATTATCTTTGTGTTTTATTACCTTGTTTGAATTTACAATTCCATATAACAAGCAATCAGTCCAGAAAAAAACTGGAGTCTGGATTTTTTCAAATCTTTCTAAACTGACAAATGCATGGTCAAGTAAAAACTAAATTTTTCTTCTAGTGTTAATGAAAATGTAATTAATGTTATTTTATACATTGTGAATTTTTTATCAATATAACTACTTAGTTTATTAGAAAACAATTTATTATTTCTTAAATTAACATTTTTACTATTAAATTTTTTTTGTGTTTTTATTAAAAATTATATGGTATACACCTAATATAAATTAAATATTTAAATATAGTAATTATTTAAATCCTTAATTAAAATATGTTTGTGAAGAACAAAGAAAGTGCTAAATTTAAATTAATTTCTTTTTTAAATTAAATTTTAATGAATGATTAAGCTTTTTGTTTACTGTATATCGTTAAATAATGATAGTATTAAATATTGTTAAATATTGATAATTAATATTATAATTATAATTTAATAATGATATAAAAAATATGAATATTGTTAAAGTTATAAGTGCATATAATTAAAATGTAAGTAAAAAATTAAATGTTTGAATTTTAGTAATTAATGAAATCTCTAATTTAATTTTTTTTTAAAAAAAGTCTATCGAAGTATGTCCATAAAAAAATAATGCGGAAAAAACTCTGAGATAGCGATAAAACAAGTACAAATTTAATTTGTTGAAGGTAAATTAAAACTGAAAAAGTCATTAACTTTTAACAATTTCTAAAAATAAATAAAGTGAGAGATAAAAAAATTTTATAAGATTCAAATTAATTTTTTCGATTAAAGTAAATTTTAACTAACAACTTAAACATTTTTATTTTCATTATCAAATGTTAATCATTAAACTTTACAACTTACAAAGCATACTATTTAAAATTTGATTTATATTATTTATTTTGGTAGTATTAAGCCTAATTTTTGAAAAAAAATTTCATTGCTCTACACACATCAAGAATAAAGATCCCCGTTGACATAAAATGCAATTTCTTTGTGAAGAGCATAGCTACCCTTCATAAGATTGTTTATAACCACTAATATGCGCTTTGAAACCATTAAAAATATTTACAACATTTTCCATAGGAGCTGCCCATCTAGTACTTGTATTAAATTAATAAAAGTCTCCTTTTCGGAATACTCAATTGCGACAAAATAATATTTCTAGTAGGCCTTTAAAGAATTTGGCAATTGCCACTTGTCAATCACAACTCTACACCACTGATATATTATTTTTAATTGTCTTCTTTGGCTCTTTACCCATGGGCAATTTACCTTGAAGGAAACTAGCTTTACCCCCAATTTAACTGTGAATAAGGGTAGGAGCTTGTAAACTATTAATAGTGTTTTCTTAGAGTGGTATCAAAAGAGTTAAATTTTTACTATTTAGAATTGACATAATCATTATTTAAGCCTTTATTTTTCTGTCTACTAGCCTAATGCTACTATTATTTGACAATTTTTTATATATTATTTTATAGTATATTTTATTATTTTTTATTTTATAATATATTATTACTACTTACTATTAGGTTATTCTACTTTTATTAGAGGACTATTATTTCAGAGGGTTTTTATCACATATATGTTTTGCTTTTAACCCAAAAAATCCTTCTTTTTTGTACATCATCTTTATTTTATTTCATTGTTTATTATTTTTATTTTCATTATTTTTTTTATTTTTATTTTCATCTTTTTTTTTTTGTTTTTTTTTGTTTTTTTTGTTTGTTTATAAATTATTTGATAATGCATAATAATAAGTTCATTTTGTTAATTATTTAATTACTGTTTTTTTAAAAAAAGGAAATGCAAGTTGGAAAGCTACTGAGTTGGGCAAAAAATGAAAAAGAGCCTCTGCGGACATATGCATGTGGTTAGCTATACACTCTTTAAATTTTTTACTAAAAACAATTGTTTTTGATTGATTTTTAATTCATTGTTATTTTTTTTTGTTAGTGATTATTGAAAATAATACTTAATTGTAAGTTTGTTATAGAAATTTTTATGCCAAAATTTTACATGTTATTTTTTAGGTTTACTTTCTAAAGTAATGCTTCTATCAGATTGTCCTGGAATTTTTAAAGAAAAAAATGCTGAGTTGGTAATTAGTTTAATCAGTTTTAAAATTTCGTTTTCAACTTTTGTTTATTTTTTCTCACATCATTGTTAACACTTAACATTATCTGTTGTTACTTAATGTGAATTAAAACTGTTTAAAATTGTTCATGTCATTTAAGGCTATATATGTAACTTAAGTTTTTGTAATTTTAACATTAGGGTGTGTGTCCATACTAAAATATTATTAAAATGATGTTTGTGAAGTGTTTTGAGGTAATTATTATTCAACATCAACCAAATTTGATAGTTTTTTCGGTTGGTAAAAAGTCAAGTTACCAAGTGTATCAAGTTGATAAAAATAAAAATTAAATGAGAGATTAAAACAGGAAAACAAAAATAAGTAATGTTGCGTCTTGAAAGGGAATGATTTAAATCAAGAAACATCATCTTAAATTTTTAAGAATACATCATTATGAGGCTATGGAAGTAATTAATAAAAAAGAATTATATAAAGACCTTGCACATAGCACTGGCAATATTTTTGATTTGACATAATTTCTGAGATTTCAAATATCTACTATCCTCCGTGTTTTTATATTTGACTTTGCTAATGGCTTGTTTAGCACAATTCTGTATGAGAAATTTAGAGAGCAAAGCATGACATTTTGGATCAAAGTAATGAGTCAAAATGCAATATTAAAATACCTGTTAAGAATACTTTTTTAGAGAGATTTCACTTTTTCACTAAATTTGGTTTACATGGTTCTTACAGTATCTAAAAAGCCTTGAAAGTTTTCTAGTTTTGTTCATGAAAAAACTGAAATAAGTCAGGAAGTAGTTAAGGAAATTTTAAATTGTAAATTGGCTTTTTAAGTGTTAAAATAAGCTAGTTTTTTTTGTTGATGGCATCACCCTAACCCAAGCGTTCTTCTTTAAATGGATTCCATTGAATTTGTTTTGACAATCGTTTTTTTTTTCTTCTATGCTTTGATAAAGTTTGCTAGCTGATAAATACACAGGTTCACCTATTTAAGTTGAAAAATTTGAAGATAAACTCTAGTGTCACACAAGCAACAAACTTTGAAGTTTATTGAATCAAAAAAAAAGGAAATGCTACTTTGGTACTACTACTACTACTACTACTGCTACTTTTGAATCAGGTGCTGATTATTTGGCACACACCTTCAAAAAGTAACTAGACAATAAAGCTAACTGACTAACTAGACAATAAAGCTGCAATTGGGATTTATACATGAATGGGTTCCAAGATCTTTGAATTTTTTTTCGTTTAACATTCTTTTTTTTTTTTGTTAGTGTTTATGGTTCAGAAGGTTTTAAATTAATACAGGGTTTTACTAAGTTTGTGGCTTAAGTTTTAAATTTGGTTAGTCAACATTATTCTAGGCAACGCATTTTTTTTTTGGGCCCCATGATCTAATCAAGCTTCTACATTTACTAAAGCGTCAAACAATAAAGGTTGAGAGTGTTATTTAATCTAAATTGGGCTCATTCTAAAAAAGTTACAAAACAAGTGAACAAAGTTATAAAATATGTTAACAAATCAGCAACTGCAGTAAAAAGAGATCATAAATTTAAAATTTTTAATCTAAAATCAAAGAAAGATTTAACTATTTAATTGATTTTAAAATTTATATTATAAATCATAATTCTTTTTTTTTTCTAAACTATTTTTTCTTATAGCAAGTTTCAAGTTTAATTATTTATATCATTTATTCTTTAGTTATATTGCTTGGTAAACTACTTTAACTAACATCTTTTTGATATTTTCACAATTCAGCTCACAATTGTTTTTTTTTTTTTGTTTGTTTGTTTTAGGTTCCAATTTTGATAAAAAGACTCAAAGCTTTAGCAGAAGTTCAAGACCAGAATGCACTCTGTATCGATGATGTAACTCAAATTGATAAATCACTAAAAGTTGTGAAAACTTTAAAAAGAAAATCAGAGAGATCAAAATTAGATAATGACCAGCCTACTCCAATTATAAAAAGTTTGTATATATATATGTGTGTGTGTAACATATAACATAGAAACCTCGTTTCTATGTTATATGTTAACCCCTTTGTGTCAAATTTTTTTTTCCAACTTGATGCTGACCTTTAACAGTTTGAGGTTGGTAATTTTTTTATTATTTTTTTTTTGCCAAACTTATTTTTTCAAATTCTAAAGGCTGATATATATATACATATATATATATATATATATATATATATATATATATATATATATATATATATATATATATATATATATATATATATATATATATATATATATATATATATATATATATATATATATATATATATATATATATATATATGCATGTATGTATGTATGTACATGTAACTCAGCCACTTTAGAAATATTCAAAAAAAGACTAAAATACTAACTCTTTGTAGACGCCTTTAAGAACTCATAGTAAAATTTTTCAGTGCTTCTGAATTACTACATCACTATTGTGATTTTTGTAAATGATGGCACTTTAATTTCTAATTATTATTATTACTATTATTATTATTATTATTATTTTTATTATTATTATATGTATGTATGTATGTATTTTTATATATAATAAACAGTGAAAAGTTTTGCTTTTATTACAACATAAAGAAAAACTAAGATCTTTTTTTAGCACCTACCTCTGCACGAAAACGGCGTTTACATTTCAAAAATAAATCCACTGAGTACCGAGATATAAAGATATGTTTACAACCACTTACAGTTTGCAGTCAACAAAAAATTACTCTTCACTACCTGCATGTTATGGGAGAGTACCAAGAGGTTTTTATTTAAATTAATTGTTAAATACTTGAAAAAATAATTATTTGAATTAATTGTTACACGTGTGCTCCCGCACACACACACACACACATATTCATTATAATTCAAATCCTTGTTTGATATTGGCAACCACACAGCAGGTGTAACAGCAGGTAACAATAGTAGACTATCAAATAATGTTAGTAGTTAATAACAACAGTTTAATATTTATATCGTATTTTTTTATAGTTACTTCCTGTTGCATTTGAGTTAAATGTGATTGATCTTATTTTCTATTACATAAATATAAAGACACAACAAGATTCTGCATTGGCATGCAATGCTCTGTTTGTAAGCTTATTTTCATTATTTTTTAAATTTTAACTATTCATAAAAATATATTAAGCTAACTGCAAAAGAAATTATTTTTTAAACAAAATGAGAAGGTTGTAAATTTTACATGGTCATAACTTTCGAACACTAAATTATAATTAGATAAAATTGGAAAACTGTAGATTTTGTTATTTGATTGTCCTCAAGTTTGGACAGAGAAGGTGAGCTCATAGGGTGGTGAGCTCATAGAGGTGAGCTCACCAAAATTTTTTTACAAGACATTCTGAATTGACCTAAGCATGAACATACTTAAGTTTGGTTTAAAAAGATGTTTTTTAAACGTTTTTTTTATGTTCAAATTAAAGATTGAAAACAGTAAGCGTTACTCTTTTATTTGTCTTATATTATTTATATTATATCATTTTAAAAAATATTTTTTGTATTTTATTATATTTTTTATATTATATTGTATTATTTGTATTTTATTATATTATTATATTATTTGTATTTTATATAGTTTAAATATTTGTATAATTTGTTTATAATTTGTATATATATGAAAAAACATTTTATTTTTGTGACTAGTACTTATCATCATTGTTATGCCACAAAAAATTTGTTCTTGAGTTTGTGTATCGAGGAGGTATACAAAGAATTCTTGAAATTCCTCAACCGTCTAATGTTGCAACAATGTCTTCTTTATGTCTCTATTATATTGCACACAATGAAGATGCAGTTGAACGGGTAAAATGTTTACGCATTATTTGTTTAAAAGTATTATGTTTTAGCTATATTATGTTTCGATCTGCAATAATATAATTCTTTGTAAAATATATTATGTTGTATTTGATTGAAATATTTACACTTAAATTTTAAAATAATCTATAAAAAAATTATTAATTCATCCTGTGCAAAATCAAAGACAAAATATAAATTAATATAAATATAATTTATACAAAATATAAATTTATATTAGTAAAAGTTAAAATAGTTTCTTAAGAATTTTTTAAAATTAAAATATTTTTTTATTGATCTAATTGCAAGTGATGAATTGTTTTAAAACCATTAAGTTATACACTTTCCTTGAAGCTTAGCTTGAAGTTATTTTGTACTTTTGATAGAAAGCTCAGACTATTATTAGCTTTTTTAAATGAGTTGTCAAAAAAACGTTTCAAAGTTAAGTTTGAATTAGTTATGTAGTCAAGATGTATATAACAATTAATGAAATAATTTTTTTAGTATAAATTAAGTGGTTTTTTGTTTTAAAAATTTTTAGATTAGTTTCAAACATATAAATTTTTGTTTTTCGTTTATATAAATTTCTCATCAAGTTTTTTTTTTTTTTTTAAAGTTATTTACTTAGTCCAAAGAAGCCACTATATAAAGCTACTTTTATATTATTCTGGTTATAACCCTCCCTCAACTCTTTAACTCCAAAGCATAACCTTGACAAATAAGGTTGCTGAACAGGGAAACAAGTTGAGAGTGGTGCTACCAAAGATGTTGTAGGGATCAAACTGAGAACTTCTTGCTTAAAAAATGAATGCTCAACCACTACACCACTAGCGCAAGTTGTTAGAAACGCAAAAATTTTGTAACAATTTTTATTTTATTAACAATAAGAAAAAAAGCAATTTGAGTTGATGACATTGTTTATTGTTTGTTTTTAATTGTTCATCTCATTGTTTATTGTTAATAAGATGAACATCTTATTGTTCATTGTTCATCTCGTTGTTTATTGTTCTTCCCATTTTTTATTGTTCAGTATCCAAAATGATTGTTGTTGAGTAAACTATTTTTTTTTGGAATAGTTTTGATCAAGCAAGTAATAGTTAAATTAAAGTTTATAATAAGTATTTTGTATACAGTTTTTGCTTCTTTCCACAGAGTTGGAAATGTGTAAGTTGACAGAGGCAAACCTGTAATATTGGATATTGCCTTAGCAATAATTTCAATGCAATAGTAGGAGATGATTTGTTCCTATAGATTACCATTTGCTTTATAATTTTTTTTAATTTTATTTTCTCTTAAAATTTAAAAAAAAAAAACTGCCTATTAATATAAATTTTCAAAATATTTAAAAATCTTTCAAAGTATAAAAAAAATTTCAAAATTAAAATTAGAAAACATTTTTCTTTATCTTTATTTTGTGAAGTTATACTTATATAAAAAAGATTTATATACTTATAATAAATATTATATAAACTTTAGCTTTTTTTATAGCTTGTTATTTTCTAATGTGGTTTAAAGAATAAAAACATGTTTTTTTTTGTTTGTTTTATTTATGTTACCATTGTAATCCGCTGTTATACTATATTTTAATATAAAATTTTTTTTTATAATTTTCATAATTTATTTTAGATTTGTCTTTTATCGCAGTCAACTGTTTATAGATTGGTTGAGTACTTACTTTGGTTATTGGAATGTGCACATGTGTCTGGTCGGTGTCATGCTGTATTATTTTTTTCTTTAACATTTCCATTCAGAACAATTTTAAATCTATTTGATTCGATGGATGGGTTAAGAAAAGTTTTTAACATGGTGAGACTAAGTTTAAAGTTTAAAATTGTTTTATAAGTGTAATGCAGTTTATTTTAAAGTATTTTTCTTTTGAATTTAAAGTTTTATTTTAGATTTATTTCAAACATGTTTATTGAAATGACCATTTATTTATTTATTTCAACAGAATGTAATCTTTTTTTCCCTGATTAATAAAAATTATATATTTGTTTATAAAATGGCAGATTACAGTTTTTTGCAGAAAGACGTGCAATCACATGTCTTTATATGACCACACATATAATACTTTCATTTTGCTGACATGTTCACAGCTTTATAAAGTGCATTTTAAAAATGGCACTTAAAATGTAAAAGTAAACATAAATTAGGAGCATGTATTGTTATTGTAAGGTATTGTTAAAGGTATTGTTGCTTTTCTGCAAACAAAAGCCATAAACTGAAAAAAGAATCTTAACCTAAGAGAAAATAAACTTAAGTAAGCTATAAACCAAAATTTATATTTTTTAAATTTAAAATTTTTTTGCCTGATAGACTTGCGGAAAGATCACAGTTTTGAAGTTAATTATCCCAAACTTATTTATAAACAAAATTTATAATAATTTTATTGCAGTAACTTATAGGAGGAATGAAAAGCCTTATGTGGGGCTTATAGCTCACCATTTTATTTAAAAATTCAATGCCATTTGATATAAACTACTTACTAAAATACAAGATTTATTACTTTTTTTATTTTACTATTTTTGTTTTTTAATTTTTAGGATGCCTATTATTTCTTACTACAAAATTTGATAAACAAAACAGATTATGTCTAAATAATTAAACAAAAGTAAAAAATCTACAACTTGCAATCTATTTGAGAAATATATGCATCAATGTATAGAAAGAACATTTTATAAATTATGTTTACAAAAATGTTTTACTAAAATTGTTTTACATTTTATATGTTTATTCTCAATATGGCAAGGAAGCACATAATTTTTTATCTATTTGCATCAAGGCTTAACAACAGGTCTTGCAATTGTGCAACCAAACAGAAAGACTGAAGGCTGATTAAAAACACTATTTTTTCTGAAAAAAAAAACACAAAATAAATATTTCATATTAATTTTCTTCTCAATTGAAAAATTAAATATGTATCTTTATTCTAATTGCAGCTTTAATACTTTTTGTGTAGGTTCTTTCTTAGAACGCAGATTAGCCAGTTTTGTATAGTTATTTAAAAGCATATGAGACAAGAATCTACTACTAATGTTTATTTTTGGAAGAGCATGATAAAAATAAATTTGATTAATCAAATTAAAGTATTCAGATACTTTTCAACAAACCATAACAGAAAAATCTAGTTTAATGAATAAAATGTAACTGAAAAACACCCACAGACGCAGAGTATCACCAGGAAGTTTTAACCTCCCCTATTTAGTTCTTTTAAGTAACTGCCTTACATTTTGTAATAAATAAAAGTATTTTCATCACTATTCATTTTAGTTTTGTGAACAATGTATCCAGCAATATAAGCACACCCTATTTTGCTGTCTTGCTCTATGCAGTCATAAAAGTCTGCATTAAATCTTAGTAGCAATATGTGAAATATGAATTTTCTCAACAGCTTGCTGAGCAGAAGCTGTTGAAGCTGAGCAAAAACCACCAGCACCCTATCTTAATTTACCGAAGACTTTCTCTCAAGGATCAATTAAAAAATCACCAAACATCATGAATTGATGATTTTGACTACTTTCAAGTAAAAAGCTAATTAAGTCTATTAAACCTCTTAATGTGTGAGATAATGCATCTGCTGTTGTCAAAGTTAAAGTTTTTATTTCATTTTTACCAAAATAATGTGGTAAATGTTGTAGGCGATTATCTTTAGCACTTCAAATAACAGCTCGCAAAGGATCTTGCAATCTTATATCATCAGACATTCTTCAGACGTTAATAATTCTCCATGCATCAATAAAAATTTGCAGAAAAGCAACAATACCTTTAACATGCTCCTAATTTATATCTGGGTTTGTTTTCAAAGCTGTCCAGGTTTCTTTACAAAATACACTCGTTACTAGTTTCACATTTTGCCTTTCTACAGGCTAACTCATTTAGACAAGATAATGTAATAAGCAAGTTTAATTCTAACAATCTCAGTTTCTCAAGATCTTTCCAACCAGCTAATTCCTCATATTCACCAAATAGAAATTTAATCTCTTTAATTTTTTTTCAGTCAGCCAATTATTGTGTATATTCTTTTTTGTTACATATATTCTTCCATAAATGGACATAATCATATAACAAAAGTATATTTGTTTTAGTTCTCCAAGGTTTGTTAGGAAAGAGTGAAAAATGTCTATTTACTTAATTGTAATCGCAAATTTCCAATGGATTATTCAATAGATTCAATTACCTCAGCAACAACACTGTATTGAAAATCGGAATCCAAATTAGACACCAGTAGTATACTTACAATAAGTGTAGGTCCTGCAAATAAGCATTTAACCATTACAGCAAGGAGTGTTCTGGCAAGCTTCTCTGGGTTGTCCTGAGCATGACCACAGACTTTCCCACCATGAAATGTGACAGTTCCTTTAACGTATACTTCATCAACCATTATAATGCATGAGCGATGTCTGTAGAATTACAAACTGCTTCAGGTAAACAAACTGTTTCGGATTTGTTTACCTGAAGTAGTTTGTCTATTACTCTTATTTGGAAAATTTGTCTATTACTCTTCTTCGGTTCTGTGATAGTGTTGAAATAAAAAACTGTGAACTCGTATGAAATGCTGTATATGTTGAATCACTTTTAATTTGAACAAGAAATCTAAAAGAGTATTATGAATATAAAATTAGTCACATTGTTACAACAAAGTAGAAAGAAATAAAAAGATTTTAATTCATGAAAATGTAGTAATAGTAATATTGTAATAACAATAATTGCTATTATTGTATTATTATTATTATTATTATTTTGATGTATTATTTTGATCGGGGTAAACAGATTCTATTTGTTGACCAGCCTCGCATCCCTTCCTCATCTATTAGGCTGGCGCAGATGTATTTATAATACATTGTTTCCAGTTTAGGATGTTAAATGCTGGATCTTCTTGACTCAATGCATGTGTTTTGCTTGTGTCTCTTTTTATGACTAGGCAACTCATTCTATTATCTCCTAATGAGGGTACAACTTTAAAATTCAGTTTTGTGGTTCTCAGGCCATATTTGGAGCCCTTTGTTACAGCTTAGGGTTTATTAGTAGTAATAAGGCAATTGCTTTGGCTAATAAACAGTGTAGTGAGTACTGTCTATGCTTTGAGTGAAGTTCTTTAAAAAATTTAAAAATGAGTAAAGTACTAAAAACTATAAAACACAAAAAACCATCGTCATCACCAAGTTCTCTAAATCTATCATTCACTAATATTCGTGGTCTTCGAAGTAACTTTTCTTCTGTTGAGTCTTATCTCTTGCAAAGTTCACCAGACCTACTTGCTCTTTGTGAGACTAGTTTGAGCTCAGTTGTCTCATCTTGTGATCTTAGTGTTGATGGTTATCTTCCTTTAATTCGTAAAGACTCCAATAGTCACATGCTTAGCCTGGGCATTTACATTCGTAAGAATTCTCCCTTTTGTCGGGAAACTAGGTTTGAATCCACAGACTACTCTTTTATGTGCTTTCGTTTAGCACCATTTCACTCTACCACCTTTCTCTTTGTTCTATATCGCTCTTCCTCATCTCAAGATTGCACTCTTTTCTTGATGTTATTTCTGATTATATTATATTTCTGATTATATTTATATTAATTCGTAAAGACTCTTATAGTCACATGCTTGGCCTGGGCATTTACATTCGTAAGAATTTACCCATTTGTTTCACACATTTGTTGGAAAACTAGGTTTGAATCCTCAGACTATTCTTTTATGTGCTTCTTTTAGCACCACTTCACTTGATTGCCTTTCTCTTTGTTCTGTATTGCTCTCATTCATCTCAACACTCCACTATTTTGATGTTATTTCTGATCAAATTGACCGAGCCCTCTCTCTTTATCCATCAGCCAATATTGTTGTTGTTGGTGACTTTCATCCTTATCACACTGAATGGCTTGGCTCTTGTGTCAGACTCTGCAGGCGTTAAAGCCAACAACTTTTGCCCTTCTTAATCCCTTATCCAAATAGTCAACTTTCCAACTTGTTTTCCAGACAACCCGAATCATATACCTTTTCTACTTGACTTATGTCTTGTTTCTGATCCTAGTCAGTGCTCAGTCTCTCCACATTCACTCTTAGGTGCTTCTGATCATGGTTTGATCTCTCTAAAACTATTATCTCATTCTTCTTCGTTATCTGAATCCCACTATTATTGTACCTCTTACAACTACCTTAAAGCTGACTTTGACTCTTTCCATAATTTTTTTTGTGATGGCCCTGGTAGAAATGTTTTGTCTCCCTGCTGACAATTGTGCTTTTTACATAACTTCATGTATTCAGGCTGGCATGGAATCTTTTATTCCCTCTTGATCAAGTCTCACTCTTCTCCACGGTTTTCCTCACAATGTACTGCTTCAATTTCCAATTAAAACTGTTACTTCCATATTTATCCGCAAAACAATCCTCCAGAAAATAGACGTCTGTTTATTACTGCTAGGAACCATATTAAAAATGTTTTGTGTAATGCCAAAATCCGGTATTCTCAGGTCATGAAATCTCATATTTCATCACAAAAATTTGGCTCTCTCGACTTCTGGAGAATCTTTAATAGTATCAATAATAAGGGCAAATCTGTTAATCCACCTCTTTTGTATGGTTCAGACTTTGTCACCTCACCTAAAAACAAAGCTAAATTGTTTGCTAAAAATTATATCATATAATAAAAATTATATCATATATATAAAAATATCATCTCTTGACTCCACTAGTTGTGATCTACCTGAGTTAGTTGTCAAACAGGTCGATCCATTGCTTGATATTTTGTTTTAGAATCTTTAATTAACAAACACTTAATCTCTCATCTTGAATCTTATAACTTACTTTGTGATCATCT